GATAGATAGATAGATAGATAGATAGATAGATAGATAGATAGATAGATAGAGTCTCAGTGATACCCACAAGGTGACCCTTGTCTCTGGAGCAGCTAACTCCCTCGAAGTTTGATGCCAGTAGGACACATTCTCCTCCTTAGAGGGGATAAAAGCAGCATTATGTGAAGGGGCGCTCATTTTTCAGTGGAATCTTCTAAATCTGCTCTAATGGGCCTGATAGAGGAAATCAAGCCAACCCGAGCACATTCGTTACCTTCATTTGGACGTGTTCATTGGCTTTAAATTGAATAATATGTTGCTAAATGATTGTACTGAACTGGACTGTAACTAACTGGAATTGAACCTTTTTCATTTCTGTCAAAGGGCCTTGAAATGACATATAATTCAATTTACAAGTGAATCGAGTAAGACCGAAGCAAGAGGCTCAATCATTGGCTGGAGTTGGTAGAAGATGATAAAAAAAATTCCGGGGGCTGCATTGTGCACTACACATATATCACAAAACATGGTGTTTGTTTGTGAACACTGATAACATAAAAGTTTGGCTATAAAAAAAAATTATTTTACTTGTTCATCTGGTGTAATTGATCACTTTTTGACCCAAAGGGATGCGGTGCTGACCCCAGGTGGTGGAGCACAGTAATGCGCCCTCACGGCTACTTTAATCCTTGTGTCCAGTTTCACCTCTGAGGGATTTTGATGATGGTTTGTCTTTTTGTTATGTTCTGCTCTCAGCATCACATTTATTTGACCCCGTTTGTGTTGATAGATTGGTTAATAGATTACTTTGAATTAAATTAGATTTATTGTGTGTGAATAGTTGAGCTAATGTGGAATAAAATGCAGTGAAATGACTGTTTTAAAACATGTTTAATAGTCATATTGTTAAAGTAAAAGTTTGTTACTTAAAAACCATCGAAAGGCTTTTACCTGATACAGTTTTCACTACTTCGTATGACTTCATTGAATTAACACCAGCGTCTGCGTTTAAAAAAAAATCACATTTCAAAACATCCATCCATCCATTTTCTGAACCGTTTAGTGAGGGGTGTGACTGGAGCCTATCCCAGGTTAAGTTTCCATTTTTTCCATTACTTCTTTTAATGCATGAAAATTCCCAAACAGTAAGAAAAACAATCCATCAAATCACAGCACTCATTGTTTTCCTGTTCAAATGCCTTTCCAGCTTACAGATTTCTTGATATCTGAGCAGACTTCACCTTTTAAAAAGACATTTGCTCCACAGCGTTCCCTCTGGCGGCGCCTCTCGTCTCGCTGGGGGCCGCAGCCGGACCAGCAGCTCACTGCTCTTTATGCTGCAGGATCTTCTCGGGGTTCAGGAGTTGCTTTGGGTCGAGGGCGTCCTTCAGCCCCTGCATGACCTGGATGGCTTGGGGTCCGAGTTCCTCACGCAGCAGGGCTCTTTTTCCCAGGCCCACGCCGTGCTCTCCGGTGCACGTGCCGTCCATCGCCAGCGCTCGCCTGCAGACCACAAACGGGGAGCTGTAGCTTTTTCAGACACTCGGTGCGTCCAGGAAAGACGGATCACTTTATATTACACTCATTTAGTCCAAGTCACAAACGTTGAGTTTATTCAAACGCAGGTTACAGGTCAAGAAGTCTATTCAGAAACTCCAGGTAACTCAGACACAAACCCACTGACCAGACTGAGAGACAAACATGAATGGAACTACGACAGACTTCAATAAATATTTGATAAAGATAAAACCGAATCAATCCTAAGAACATAGAATTAAACAAGATGAACAATAAATACCCAAACCCTGAAAAAGTATTTGAAAATATCAAAGAAACATCCGAGGACCTTTTTAAAAAAAACTTTGATTAAAGTAATGAAAAATCGGGGGGAAAAAGGACCGAGCGGTGGCCCTGACCGGGGCGGTTACCTGGCCAGCCTCTCGGTGAACAGGTGGACACGGTGCAGCTCGTCCGGGTCGCTGGGATCCACCACCATCAGACAGTGGAAGTTCCCGTCGCCAACGTGACCTGCGATGGGACCTGAACGCACCACACATTCAGAGACGTCACAGCGGGAAGACATCCGGCTTCTTTCTGGGTGCTTGATGCTGTGTGCTGTCTTTTCTCTTGACTTTGTGAGTTTTACAACAGCTTTTTCTCTTTAAAGAGGAACAGACTTAATAAAAACAGACCATCGGCATCAGTAAAGTGGGCTTTGTCTAATAGGCCCATTTCCCTCAGTGGTGCAGCCCACTCCTCTGACCTGTTAGCCTGCTCTCAATCAGGTCCTCTTTTGTCTCCATGATGATCTGAGGCAGCCGAGACAGAGGGACACACACATCTGTGGAGTAGGCCTGCTCACACAAACACAAACACAAACACACAGTGTTACAGGTATTGGGGGCGGCATGCATATCTCTAACAGTTTAAACCTTTTATTTAAGGCAAGCCTTTGGCAGAATAGCTTTTTTGCCATTCAAACACCTTTTTTTTTTTTACTCTTCTGAGCAGGAAACAGCTTCTCGGTGTGTTTTAGTTTCTGTCTGTGTGACAGCGTGCCCCGCTCACCTTGCAGCCCGGTCTGAGGGCCTGTGCAGCGTACCAGGCATCGTGCCGGGCTTTCCACAGCCGACTCCTCGTCTCCGCGTCCCGGGCCCACTGAAAATCTGAGCCCCCGTTGCTCTGAGTGATTTCCTCTGCGGAAAGAAACACGTCAAAGTATTTTTTTGCTGTCACGATCCTGCGGATGGAATCATATGTTATTGCTGTTATTGTTAATTATAAGTGTTAAAGGCCAAAGTTTAACCAGGCCAGCTCAGCTTGTTGGCAAAATAAAAAAGGAGGAGACGGAACCGGACGGCAGGCTTTAAACACAACTGCATTAAAACTGATGCTTTTACAGTTTTACAAATACATTCAGGCTACAAACGCTAACCGTTGGATTCATAAACCAGCACGTCGTTTGAATCTTTAACCGCACTTCAGGGAAATCTGCTGGTAAGTTATTAAAGAGAATGTGGATACGAAGTGAGCAGCAGTGCTTCTGAGCAGTGAAAGAAAATCTAACAGAATAAATAAACCATGATGGGATCTTGGTATCTGTTTAATTTCTGACCTTAAGGAACGTTTCAGCTTCTTCTTCTGAGGGTTCCTGATCCTCCTTTTTTCTTCTTGAGATTAAAACCAGTTAGCAGAAGTGAAGTTAAAAATCTCCACTAAGTATTTCCAGAGTGTGAAAGTCCAGAGGCAACTTTGAAGGCCTTTGAAGCTTCTGTAGACTTCAACATTCAACCGGATCTCCTTTAAATTGGCATTATAAACTGATTTGTTAGTTAGCATGCTGAAGTCATTTTAATGTCTTTACATACCCACTGAGGCTGATTATTTCCTTTAGATTTATACTCTACCCAGTGTGATGTAATCCGACCGTGGAATTAAAAACATTTACCAAAAACATTTTCACATGTGTGAAAATATTAAAGGCAAATTTGAATACATCCAAATATTCTTGATTCTCTCTTCACGAAAGGTCCTTTTTTTTTTTTTACTTCTGCAAAAGTTTTTTTTACGAGTTCCTCAAAATTGCTGTAAAATACTGCAGTTGTTCTGCTTTAATTATCTGTGTCTACCTCAGCCTAAATTCTACACATGAATTGTAAATGATTTTTTGTCCCTTAAACCTTTTAGAGAAAAAAAAAACAAGTGTTTGATCAGTACTTTTATGAGACTCTGAGATGGGTCAATGATCAGGGACAGGGATTTTTATGTATTTTTACCAACAGAAATGACCTAAACGTGACATTTTGTTGCATCTTTTTTAATGGTAAAATGTTGGAGGACAAAAATAATAAATAAGTCCCAAGATAATTCTACGAAAACTGAGGATCTGGGACCCAAACCTACCAGCTGTGTTGACTTGCTCTTCGAGGCTTCGCTCTGAGCCGTGGAACTCCAGGAACAGAGTCGGGGTCACGGCGTAGGACAGAGAGCTGAACCTGTTGCACGCGTCGATCATCACATCATCTAAAAACTCTGCACATCGCACAGCCACAAACAGGACAAACAGATGGAGTCATTCATGCTTGTGCTTCACAACCTCATTTTTCTATCTACAGGGCTTTTAGGTGCAGCGAATGGTGATGAAACCCCCGGCCCTCTCGGCTCATTTCGGTTCCTTACCGATGCGAGCGATGGGAACTCCGGCCTGCAGAATCTGAACTGTGCTGTCGACAGCAGTCTGGACGGAGGGAAAGGAGCAGACGGCAGACACCATGGCCTCTGGGATGCCGTACAGACGCAGCGTGGCCTTAGTGATGATGCCCAACGTGCCCTCCGACCCCACAAACAGGTTTGTGAGGTTGTAGCCGGCTGACGTCTTCCTGTAGACAGAAAGTCAAAAGCAAAGATGAGCATGGAAGACTCAAGGTGCCAAATCTGAAATAAATACCTGAATTCGTAGTGTGTACATATAAAGAAAATTGGTTAAAAAATAACTAATGTAAAAATAATCGTACAGAACAGTACAATAAAAACACTTAAATTTAAACTACATTAACTAAACAGCCGTTTTTGTTAAACTTCTATTATTAGGGTTTATGGGAGTTCTGGTCCATCAAGTTTTTGACCGCAGACGCGTACCTGGGACGTCGACCTTTACCGGCTGTGTGTATAATGGTGCCGTCAGCCAACACAACCTCTAAGTTCATAACATTTTCCCTCATAGTCCCATAACGCACTGCATTGGTACCGGAGGCGCTGGTGGCAGCCATGCCACACAGAGAGGCATCAGCTCCAGGATCTGAGACAACCAAAAGCAAGGAAAGAAACAAAACATTGGTTCACCAGTCCGCATCACTTTGGGTTTGAATAAAATATTCAAACCTGCCGGAGCGCTGTTATGAAGTCACTTTAGATTTGCTCAATTTCAGCTTTAGAAAACCAAAGCTAATATAAAGTACATCACACTATGGCAAAGACGAGGCTGGAAAGCCTGTTTGTTCCGACCAGCACTGACAGCTTTAGAGCCGAGGCTGCGCATTATGCATGAACTTTCAACAAACCACGCAAAGAAACCAGTGGGATGACAGGATGTTGTAAAGAAGAAGCTAGTTCTGTCACTACGCTTTTACTAAATACAGAGCAGTCTGTATCATTACTGACCCACAGGGAACCACAGCCCGGTGTCCCGCAAGTAGGCATTTAGGGACTTTCTGGTCACCCCAGGCTCCACCGTCACATCAAAGTCCTCTGGGTGGAGATCCAGAATCTGGTCCATGTTCCTTAAACTGAAGCACACACCACCCTGAGAGAAGGTGATGTGAATTTAACATTTATTTTCAGATATCCACCATTACTGTGGTCTAAAGGTAACACGCACACTCACCTGTACGGCTCCGACCCCGCCCTCCAAGCCAGTCCCAGTACCGAAAGGGATGATGGGAAGGTTGTGTTTGTGGCAGACCCTCGCCAGAGCGCTGACCTCTTCCACACAGCGTGGAAACACAACCACATCTGGAGGGCAACACCTGCACAGCAGCAACACAAAACACCCGCTTTGTGTATATCAAAAAAGAATAAACAGCATTGATAGGTGCCATCCTGTATACATCTTCTGGAAGACCTTTTTTTTTTCTATGAGGACTTCTGTGTTTTCCAAGCATTGGTGGTTCAGTGGTAGAATTCTCGCCTGCCACGCGGGAGGCCCGGGTTCGATTCCCGGCCAATGCAAAAGCCTTTTTTTGGGAAAGATCTTTCTTTTCCATTCACATACCGCTTTTATGTTACAGCTAACACACTGACATCTGGTCAGACCAATCCCCTGCAAGTTTTCAAGCATTGGTGGTTCAGTGGTAGAATTCTCGCCTGCCACGCGGGAGGCCCGGGTTCGATTCCCGGCCAATGCAAAAGCCTTTTTTTGGGAAAGTTCTTTCTTTTCCATTCACATACCACTTTTATGTTATAGCTAACACACTGACGTCTGGTCAGACCAATCCCCTGCAAGTTTTCAAGCATTGGTGGTTCAGTGGTAGAATTCTCGCCTGCCACGCGGGAGGCCCGGGTTCGATTCCCGGCCAATGCAACTCCCCTTTTGTTTTTGTAAAGCTCTTTCCTTAACATACTGTACCATTTTTCTGTTACAGCTAACACACTGACCTGTGCACAGACTCATCTTTGCCATGTTGTTCTCTGACAGCTTCACCCAACGAGATGCCGTCTTCACCACATATGGACCTGAATTTCGAGAGAACTCCGTCTTCGACAGCCCCCTGAACGAACACAAAGGTTTTTACTTGCGTAGGACCACATGCCATCCAGCAAAAATACAACAGTGCAGCAAAGAAACGATGAAGAAACTGAGCTACTGTCCGACACACTTGAGCTTTTAGATCAAAATACAAAAGCCCACATTAAGCATTATGTCAACCCTTTAGGTCAAATAAGGATTTGTTTTTCTTTTTAAAAATGACAAGCTCTGAAAATGATTAAAAAACCTCATTGAAAACCTCATTGAAGACATACACGAATGACTTTAGGTGAACTGAGCAGGCTGTGACACAACTGGGATGCAACTCATTGGAGAGAGTGGATAAACCACATTTGAAAAAGGTTTTGCTTTGCATTGATTTTGTCTTGTTTTTCGCTAGAGTGAAACATAGTTCCGAAAATATTTAATACCCAGCCCCACATCTGTCCGGGAGATGCTTTTTTTTTTTTTCAACATCTGAAACGAATGTCATACAGGCATTGGTGGTTCAGTGGTAGAATTCTCGCCTGCCACGCGGGAGGCCCGGGTTCGATTCCCGGCCAATGCACAGTCCCCTTTTGCAAAGATGGGCTTGAAAAGTTCAGTTTAGGTAACTGAGAAGCAGAAGATGCAATTTGCTTAAACTGAACTTTTCCAGCTTGACCATGACCTGGATGACAGGGAATTTTCACAGATCTTTTGCAGAAATCTTTCTTTTCCAAACCAGTACCAACATTTTCCCCATATTTATATATTTATCTATATATGTATTTATTTCATATTTTATATATTTCATATATATATTTATCTCAAACCAACCACTGACAATACTGTACTGTACTTTGCTTCTTTCTTTTCCATGTGCAATGTAATGTAATGGACTTTGAGCTTCAGCGACGTACTATTGCTTTGGTTTAAGGGTTTTCAGCAAAAACTTACAACAAGAAAAAAAAAAAAGAAAACATTGCCTCCCCGTCGGGGAATCGAACCCCGGTCTCCCGCGTGACAGGCGGGGATACTCACCACTATACTAACGAGGATTGGCACATCTCCCGCAGCCATTTTTACGTTTAAAAAGAGTATCCTTGACGAAATAAACATAGCTACAAAAAAAATTGGACTGAAAAACACAAAACGATAACGTTCCTTTTGATTGTAATATGTAAAAAAAATGTAGCCTCCCCGTCGGGGAATCGAACCCCGGTCTCCCGCGTGACAGGCGGGGATACTCACCACTATACTAACGAGGACTAGCACAACGCCAACAAGTGTAGTACTGGTTAAAAAGGAGCACTGCAACAACTGAATCCTATTAACTAACTAAAAATATGTTTCCGCCCGGTTTCGAACCGGGGACCTTTCGCGTGTGAGGCGAACGTGATAACCACTACACTACGGAAACTTGCACACGCTAGCCCTCCAGGCTGACAATAAATATATGCACACAGATATGACGATGCTGTGAAAACACAAGTTGATGTGCTGGTCTGTAATGCTTTTATCTTAACTTTGTCAAAAGTGTTTCCGCCCGGTCTCGAACCGGGGACCTTTCGCGTGTTAGGCGAACGTGATAACCACTACACTACGGAAACCTATACACATAGACATGTGAAGCCCCAAAAAGTACGTGGGGCGTATATTTAAAAAATGTTTTTTTAAAAGTTATTAAATCTTTTTGTTCGTCACCGAATACTCACAGACATCACGAGTATCCACAAAACTGACAAAAGGCATGTTGCATTGGCCGGGAATCGAACCCGGGCCTCCCGCGTGGCAGGCGAGAATTCTACCACTGAACCACCAATGCCTACATAGTAACACTCTCCCGAAAAAAAGAGTCATTCGTTGGCCAGGAACGATTCCTGGACAGCGGGCAGGCATGGACAGATCTTCGGCTACACAGCTCTAAACCATGTCCCATTCATTTCCTATGGTCTGGCTAAACCACTACAGATGCAATCTATTTTTGACCACCAAAACCCTTGTGTCGCTGCTGCAACAAAAACATATATTTATGTATCGGAATTGGCTGGATGAGAAAATAAATCTAGTTTGGAAGACGAATTGGACCAATGAACGACCAATACTCGAGCAGGTGACGTATCAAACGAGAAGACCAACCTGCCAAAAAAAAAAAGATTTATAGCAGGGTAAGAAAGATCACAATATATAAGCCATCTTTCTGTGACAGAAATAGACATATTTTAGGGATAGGAAACGTTATCTTGAAATCTCACAGGTAAATTAACATTTAAAAAAATGTTTATACATCAAGTATATGCTAATACTTCGAGAAATAGCTAGCTAAAACGGCGTTATTTATCTTAACTTCGGAGGACACAGCCAAAGGTAACTCATAATACCGTAACTACATTTGTGACGTTTATTATTCGAAGACACTGGAAGACAGTAGTTTGTTTGTTTGCGTAAATATGCTAATCAGCATCTCACTAGCGGTCTTAACTTTTTTGCTTGCAGCAACATTAACCTTCGAACAGCCCACTTGGTTTTATTCAACACCAACAACCTGCTGTCCAACGACACCGAAAAAACACAGTGCTGAATGGAGATTTTAAGAAATGACTCACCCTGGCGCTGTTTGGTAAAGAAACATTGCGACACAGCTGGAGACGACGTCGAAAGGCCAGTAAGCGGCGACCCGTTGACCAACCGAGCCACATCTTTTACCTTGAACTGAATTAATGACGCAGAAATTAACAAGTAAAGTTGAAGCGTTTAAACGCACCACGTCAAAGACTTCCGTTTTTTCCTTTTCAACATAAATCTGACAATATTGGTTTTAATAACACTTTACCAATAGATTTACTTAATGTATAATTTAACAAGTCTAACGTTAAAGAAACAATCTGGAAATCAACCTGGTGCCATTACCAGAAAAAAGTAAAGATGTTGTGTGATCGTTGGCCCAGTTTTTTTTTGTTTTTTTTTTACAGTCAAAGAGTTCATGATTTAAATCCCAAAGTCGAAGTTTTACAAGTTTTACAAAAAGTCGGGCACATAATGTAAAAACACATTCTGTCCAGAAAGTCTGCCAAAGACAATTCATTTTGGAATCACAAAACCGAGACAAAAGGAACAAGGCACATCTATCGAGGTGGAATTTTATGTTGAATGTCGTCACATCAATTTCCGGTAATATCTGAGCACTTAATTAAAACAACAAAACTTTACACCGGAGGATGGCGCCACAGGTCAAAAAACATATCTTTAGGTTTCTTACAGGCACCTCAGATGACTGGGGGGGCTTAAACTTCTGCTGTCAACACGAAGTGAGTTGACTTGTGGATCCTTTGCCTACTAAACTTAGAACATCCGAGGCGACTTCCTGGTGCGTTATTTTTGTTGTTTTGGCGAGGTGGAAGTTCGAAGTACTCGACTGTCATACTGTTTTCCCTCTGAAAACAGTAGTAACTTAGTCACTTTTATATGTTTATGTTTCATTCTCCTTAAGTACAGCCAGTGTACGCCTCGCTTTGTAACAGATATAACCATGACTCAGCATTTCTTTCTGTGCTGGACGGATCAGCCAACTGTTATGCCGATATGAACAACGAGGACACACGAGTTTGACAGTGACATGAATTTGTTTTAAACTCAGTGTTTCGTTTATGTGTCAGCAAACGAGATTTAAAATGCCCTGATTAGCACAAATTTGGCACAAATAAATCTGTGCTGGACAGAATAGCTTTTTGGGACTGGTAGTGAGGTTGTTGAGTTCTTTCAGCAGAGTGGTGCTGCTGTCGATGCATAAGAAGGAGATTGGCGACTTCTCTCATTTAATGAGATTTATTTCAGGACAAAAATACATGAACATCTTCCAGTTGAGTTGAGCGCGGACGAGAGAGAGTGAAAAAAATGGTAATCATCACATATATAAAATGTCCATCTACGGGAAGTCCATTAGGTTAAATACAAGATGAACATTCACGCATTACTCATTCAGCGTGCTCTTGCGCCCTCTTGTGATGCTAAAACAACATAGCAGTTACATAGAGAATAACCTGAGGACATAATGACAACAACATAGGCTTATATTTTAACAGAGGTCTTATTGTGGTAAACCTAGTCTGAATGTGGCTGTTATGCAATGAGTGACCCCCTCCTGGTTTTGTTGAAAGGTCATGTACCCAGTAGACCTGCCAGCTGTGGTCACTGACCTGACCTCTACCTCTGAACATTATCTTTCCTCTTTGGATGCAAGATCTGGCCATAATGAGTGGTTTCAGTCAACAAAGACCTCGAAGGTACCATGATACTTTTCCAATATAACTTTTACTGATCATGCTCCTTGTAAGAAAAAAAAAAAATCAAAGAAATATGAAAGAAGGAAAACAATTGCTTGACATTTTGGACAAATTTGTTGTAATTACATCTTAATTTACAAGTGGTCAACTTGTGAGGCTTTAGATTGAAAATGTAAAATAAAAATATTTGACATTTTTATATTATAATTATCCAAGTTGCAGAATTCCTTTTTGGCTGTAATAATCAGTTAAATCCTTGTTCATGTAATCAAAAACTCAAATACACATATTTGACTTATTACATTGTGTTTGGGAATTATTGTTTTGAATAAATCAATAGATAATTTGGGTTTTGTATTAACCAAGCTGTTGTGTCAAGACCACGTGTTACTGTTTTTGTTACTTTAAGATTACAGCATGTCAGTTTATCAGTTTTTTTGTTTGTTTATGTTATTTCAAGATTAGAATATATGTCAGTTTATCAGTTTTTTTTCTAAAGTCGGTCTGTTGTCTTGCAGTTTGATAACTAAAAAAGAATGATTTCTTGTCATTAAAGCGTTTAAAATGTTAGTTTCCTCTTCCTAGGTAGCAATAACAGCAGCAAATATCAGCCGGCTGCAGCTGTTTGAGGATGAGCAGCCTGCCTGCGCCGTGCTGGCCCTTCATCCTCCAGACGACCAAACTCAGGGTTGGAAACCTAACACGCTTCTTCTCCGCCTGTGCTGCCCGCCAAACCGGGCTGACACTCTCTGCTGTTTCCTTCCAGTCGTGGCTTTGTACCTGTACGGGAAGTGGTGGAGTTTGGATGACGTGCTGCGAACATCAAACCAGTCCAGATGTGGACTGGTGTCGGTAACCGTTATTATTATTATTATTTATTTATTTTTAAATTTTCTTCTCATTCAGAAATGGCTGGTGATAAGGCTTTTGAAATACAGGAAATCAAACATCTAAACAAACCAAGGACAAAAACAAAATGATGACTGTTATGGCTGAATGATGCAGAACTTTTACTGACTGACCTCTATTGACTAAATAATAATAATAATACATTTTATATGAAGTCGCCTTTCTGCACACTCAACGACACTGTACAAAAAATGCCTTAAAAGAAACGACAATAAAGCTCAACAAAATCACAAAAAAGACAGAGGCAGTCTTAAACAGATGTGTTTTGAGTTGTGATTTGAAATGTGGGGGAGTGAGTCGATGTTTTTCTGAGTAAATGATTGCAAACGGGGCCCCTTTCTGCTGTTGATGGGGTCAAGAGTGAAATGTGAATTGCACTTATTTCCAAGATCTGTCTGCCATCGTGTTTCATTTTCATGTAGGCGTGTGTTGTGGGAACGTTCCTGTGAGAGCGTGATGTGTGCAGGTGCGGTCCATTATGGAGCGGGTGGTGGTGTTCCTGCTCAGCCGGGTGGTGGAGAGGCGCTCACTTGGGGAGGCTTCGTTCTCTCTGCACCCCCGCACAGAGAGCTGCAAAGTGCTTTGGAGGGACGAGCGGGCGGTCGGCTTCTACTCCGTCAAACACAAAGGTGGGAGGCTGAAGGGCGGGGCGCAGAGGTGTGGAGGAGGACAATAGCAAAATGATATCCAGATGATTTCCATCTGTGCGAGTGCAGCGGGGGAATATCACACCCACCGAATGCTGACCAGCGCAGAACTCTGCGAAAGGCGGCCCGCTGGAATGTGAGCAGCAGTTTTGGTTTTGTCTGATCTTTCGTCTCAGCATCAGTCTTATTCAACCCCTGCTTCTCCGTGACATTTGGTCAGTTTAAAACGCAGCTCCAAACTGGGTCTGAAATTCAGGTCTTCTTGGCCGTGAGTCCTTTCCAGGTAGAAAAGCTGTGAAAGTACATTTTAAAAAAAAGCTTGTGACCCTTCTGGGCCGTTTCAGGCAGCCTGTGTGACGGCTGGAGCAGCTGCTGCTACCTGCTGCCCGTCCTGGACACGGTGCTGGTCAGGAGGAGCTGCCGGAGGAGAGGCTTCGGCCGGCTGATGCTGCAGGATTTCTGCTCTACGTTCCCCTCCGAGGGAGTCCTGGGAGTCAGCTCTCCAGTTTCCCCCAGCATGGCAGCAGGTCTTTATTCCCGTCTTTGAGTCCAGAACCTCTTTTGGGTTGTACTGACCGCATTCACGCCAAGAGGGAATATCAACTGATACAAACTTGGAAACGTCTAAACAAGCCTCACATTTATCTTTATTAGCAAGTCACAGCTGGCATCAAATAAAACAGTGATTTACTAACCAATGGCAATGGGCCTAGGGACTCAAATTTCCTTTTTAATGTGGAAAAACAATAAATTTAGGTGAATATTATTACAGCTGAATTCCTGGTGAAACGGATCTGCTGTCAGACCCTTAAATGTGGCAGAAATGGACTTAAAACCAGCCCGTTAGGACCGCACAGTGTCGCTCTGCTCTAATAGAATCCTAATTTCCTCAATTTATAGCTAGTGTCATGCCACAAACTAGCTTAGAGGCATGGGCATATTTCAGTGAGTAACTCGAATCCTCCTCCATTCACAACAAAATTCACATTAAATCTACACAATTGTAATAAATACAGTGACTATAACTTCCATTGGTTCATAATATTATTGCCATTTTTCTAGTCTTACCAAGGTGTGTTTCCATAAATGAAAAATCCATAAATAGATCATACTTCCAGTTCATTTTTCTTTGCAAATACACATGTTTAAACAGTCATGCCTCGCATGAGCCTTTATAACAGTTTCAGTGTTATTGGAGGGAAAAATAAAAGGTACCCAACCCAAAAATAGGTTTCTGTTCCTTCCAGTGGGTCTTTGCATCTGCACATTCGCACAACAGTGGGGTTCATGTTTGTGATGTTGTGGATCGCCTCCCATTTTATGAAATCATAGCCGTGGCCGCTGTCCAGTTTTTGGTTTTAACTTCTGACTCAGCATTCTTAGTTTTAGCCAGGATTACTTATCTAATCCTTTGTTTCAGAGATCCCTCCTGGCTTTGCCTCCATCTTCTTTGTGTCTAGCTTTTACGTAACTCCTCGCTGGTGTTTGGTTGGAAAAGTTGGAGCTGCAAAAGCTAAAATGGCTTGAAGCCAAAATAAAGGTCCTGTTTAGTTTTCCAGTGTTCCCGAATGGGACAGTTAGCTTAACCTGTTTGGTTAAATGATTCATTTAAAGGTTTTTACAAACCAAAATCTCAAATGTCTTATAGAGAAAAGGATTAGACAACGTGACATAAACCCGAATGATCCCTTCAGGTGCCTGCGACCGGTCGGGATCCTCTGATGAAGCTGCTCTGTGTTTTTGGTAACCCTGTGTTCAGTGTGCAGGAGCTTCCTGCAGCGGCATGAGGAGTTTCGGGAGCGTCTGTACGAGGTGGAGGCCCCGGGGGGCTGGGCCCAGCGCAGAAACATCTGGCTTAGCATCCAGCTCGGCCGCTACCCCCTCGGTATCTTACACGTACCTCCAAAATTAGGTTCTGGCCCAAACGTCACATTTATGTGCGTCTGCTTAACAAAAGCATTCACCAAAGTCCCCTGTTGTTGACGCAGAGTCTGTGACGTCATTTGATTCTAATCTTTATTTTAATTTAGGCATTAAAGAGGAGAGTGGCACAGCATCAGAAAAAACCCAGACTGATATGAGAGAGATCTCGCTGCAGCAGGTGAGAGGCACCATTTATTTTCTGAGAAATTATAATAGAAATGTAATAGTTTTTTGTGTAATATTAAGTTATTATTTGTGGAGGACTGAAATTGCAGTAAAAAAAAAAAAGATAGCTGAACATCTAATTTCCACCAAGCTTGATATGTGAATGCGTGTGGGCGGGGCCTATCAAAGGGGGAGGAGTCAACATGATGGAGACTTAACAGAGGGATAGAAAGAACATGTCAGGGTTGTTTTATACTCTCTGTTGACTTTCTGGTGTCTTAAGACCAGAACAAGATTATTTTTTCTTTTTTTTCCCCATCTTGATGGATGCTCATGTCCAACACCAGAACTTTCCCCCGACAGATGCAGGAAAATGAGATGTTTGTGAAAGGCTGTTATGCCGGATCTGCTTACGCCTGCTGGGCCGAGCGATGACAAACGAATGGACATTTGATCAAAACACATAAACGAAAGCAGATGCCTGAGCTGTGATTTTAGAGATGTTCTGTTTTTCCCTGCCCGCAGACCCCACCGAGCACCGGTAACACGAGCGCCCCTCTGCTGCAGGCCTCCGCCGGGCCGCGGATTAAACCTCCCCACGCGAACCGAGCGGAGACCTCCCCGAGCAGCCCGCCCTCTGGGACAGGATGTAGCCCAGCAGCCCACGCTGGGGACCCCGAGCCGCTCGCCGGGCCCCAAATCACAGAGCAGGCGCTGAAATCCAAGGCGGCAAAACGCAGCAGCGAGGAGCCAGAGGAAATGCAAAGACGGGTCAGAAGATCCAGATCTACATATTTGGCCAATAAGCAACAATAGGCCACACCACTGAAGTGATCAACGTCCATCTAAACCCTTTAAGTGACTGTATATACTCTGATACTCACAACTGTCAAATGAAAGCTGAGATTTTAGTCTCTTTTAGATATTTTTCAGTCCATATTCTGAGCAATCTGAGACCGCCGAGCAAAATGAGTAAAGAGGGAGGGACCACAGATGTTGTGAACAGATGTATATATTACTGAATCTGTGTTTAAATTTAACTTTTTAAAGGAATAATTCAACTCTCAGTGATCATCTCAGCAAATCAAAAGGAATTTTAACAGATGAATACTCTGACAAAAGCATTTGAAAGTAAATAGGCCTGAAAAATGTTGATAAAAATTCATTATAATGAAGATTAATGATGAAGCTGAGGCATTGTTAACATTTTCCAATAAAGAGAAGGAGAGTATCTTTTGGTAGCTTATTCGTGAAGTTGATCTAGTTTTTTCACGTTTAAAGACAACCAACGAGCGTTTTTTGGCATGAATGTCACCGCCTCCGGGACGTGGTCTGTGACAAACCGAGCGCTTCTCTGCTGCGCAGACGTAGGAACAGGAAGTTTTGGAAACAGGAAAAATCTCTGACGGAACTAAAACGAAGGTTTTTCTGGAAGATGAGCCGAATTTATCACAACACGTCTTTACAAAACAAACCGGTGCACAATGAGAAGTTTGACCGCGCGTGGTCGCCGTCAACTTACGAAAGGTAGAAGTTCGAAGTTTGAGTAGCATCCACTGTTTCTGCTGGGCGGAGACAGCACCAAACCACACAGAGAAAATGACATTTTTTCATTTTTCTCCACACGTATAACCAATCCGTCTGCGTTTTTCACCAGAAAGCCTCGTGTTTACGAGCAAATCATTACGGTTTTATTCGGCACCGTGTTTATGGTCAATTTCTGTTGCATTCTGACTCTCCTACACTGAAATTTGTTGTTTTTACTTTCAGAATAATTAAGACAAGCCCTAAATAATTGTTGCTTGAGACTATTGTTGAGGGACAAACACTGTTTTCATTCTGCATCCGAGCACTTGTTCTAAAAGTTAGTATCACTCTAATCTACAGGGACAAGGACTGCAAATGAACTGGTCTTTTGATTAGTGTCATCAAATGACAAATACTAAATACTTTTAATCAATGCAAAATGTTCTTCATGTGTTGCCTGCCCCCCCTTTATACTTGGATATGGTTAAATAGGAACCACGTGGTGTCTAAAACAAAGATTTTTGGAGCAGATTTCACAGGATGCCCATGATGCTGGAATGGGAGGTCGAGGAAGCTTTTGTTTGTATAAGGAAAAAAGATACTTATTGAATGTATTTTCCACAGAGAATGAAGTGACTACAAGTGAGCACGAGTGTTTGATGCGTTTGAGCCTTTTCTCCCTCACAGTGGACCTGGAGTCCTCTTGGAGGGACAGCTACTGGATGTTTCCCGACATTCCATCAGCGACACCAGCGGCCAAAAGGTGAAGCGCTGAACACAAACGAGATGCACCCACAGTGGGGAGAAAAAAAAGCCCTTAAAAGATGAGACGGTGAAACTTCCTCCACGATGTCGCCCCTAGGTCCGTTTCTACGTGCTGTACATCAGACCCGGCCGCGTCCATCAGAGGAAGTTTGACGCCGGCGGGAAGGAGGTCGAGCCCAACTTCAGCGACACCAGAAAGGTCAACACCGGCTTCCTCATGTCCTCCTACAGTGAGTGGACAACAACAAATACTGGAGTTTCCTTTTGCTTCCTCCCCCTCCTCCTCAGTAAACTTGATTCTTTTTTTGGTCATTTCGATGGCACGCTGGTGGAGATTCTCTGTTGTCCAGGTCACAGCAGCCCTTAGAGCTTCCTCTGGGAATCTGAAAAGGTTTTATTATAAACCGTGGGAAGTGTCGGCTCGTTACACTGACCGATGTGTGGGTCGTTTGAGTGTATGTCACCCATAAATCTTAAAAGTGTCTGAAAGAAGAGGTTTTTGGATGATTTTCTTAGGTAGTCATTCTATGTCATCAGGACTAAAAGTAACACATGAAACAAAGCACACTTGATTTTTTTTGTATCCCAAAGTGTGTTTAGAGACAACATGTGTCCTTAGGGGACGGTTTCACCAGGTGGTCTGTGCCATAGATTTTCGTTAATACAGGTAGAACTTTGTGCTCCTCGTGCTCTCGCTCGGATGTCAGGAGCTCGCAGGTCTTCTTCTGTTCCGTCTCAAACGTGTGTGTTGTCTCTGAAGAGGTGGCAGATAAAGGGGAGACGGACCGTCTGTCTGAGGAGCAGCTCTCGGCCGCGGTGAACAAGTCCGAGCTGGTGAAGATCACCGACCAGCACCGGCCAGCCGGGACGTGGGCTTTCTGGTACCCCGAGGCAGAGATGGACACAACCGAGCTGGAAACGGGACAGGAAGTACGACTGAAGACCAGAGGAAACAGCCCCTTCATATGTGAGCCTGCCTCAGTTCATTTTTAGAAAGATGATTACCAAAAAAAAAACAAGTTCAGATAAACTTTCTTTACTTTTAAATCAAGATTTTAGCTGGAAGAATTTGGCTGAGAAAGAATTTTTATTCCATTGATGCAATGATCCTAAATGCCTAATTATTATGTAACAGGACAAAAAAGTTTAAGGAGAAAAATAAAACGCATTTAGGAGTCTTTCAAGTATTTGATAGGAGCTGTTTGGTGGGTTCACAGCCTCTACTTTTACACATTTTAGCCATGAGTCACGATTTGATACATATTTGGGTAATAATGCAAAGAAAAATATGGTACTGTTTTGTGTCAAGCTCCCCTTTCTGTCGCTTTCTACTTAACTTAAAGTTTCTCTGGCGAAAGTGGACAGTGGAACGGTGACAAAGTGCAACTTTGCTGGAGATCAAAAGGCCGGAGCCTCGTGGACGGACAAGATTATGGCCAACAAGGCAGATGTCAGCAGCCCTGAGACGCCCGGAGGAGGAGGAGGAGGAGGAGAGGGAGCAGAGGAAGATGAATGGGTGAGAGCCAAATAAAACCTTAAAATACGAGTTTCACACTAAAGACTTTCCCCCACACCACCGGTACGTTTCCCACTAATCTAGAAGTGAAGTCCGTGTGTGTTTTTTCTGGAAAACATGAACTCTAACAAGCAGGTCCTCACCTATGACATATAAATGATAGAAAAAGGTCTGTCAGCTGACCAGCAACCGTTCAAAGTGACCTGAGCACAACAGCTGCCACATATTAGACCAGGAACACTCGATTAGAGGTGGTGTTTGACATCCAGTGTTTCGGAGGATGGAATTCCACTGATTAATCTGCTGGGAGGGACAGCAGAACCTGTCATGACTTCATTTTTGTCTTCCCTTAGGATGATTGAGGACTCGTGGGCCCCGGTGCGGTCCCTGGTCTCTCAAACTGGCCTCAGGGCTGGAAGCTTGCATCACATCTGCCTCCCTGGAACCTGGACCGTCCCATCTCTGAGTCAACGCTCTTTTTTTTTTCTTATCTAATCTGAATCAGACCCCTTCATTAAAAGGGGTGGGACCACTCAACATACCTGCCATCAACTATTGTTTCGAAATAATTCTTACATCACGCTCGGTATTAGAGACACTTTGTATTTGAAGCCTTCTCCAGCCAAACAGCTGGTTTATATCATAAATCGGAAATATGTTTTCACGTCTTTGTTTGAGTCATCATCTTTTATTCACATCAGTATCACCCTCAGCTGCTGTGTAAACTATCCAAATATCTCTTCCTCCTCCTTCCATGTTTGTTTGAACATATACAGAAAAGCAGCCCTGATCATGTGAGGTACTGTTGGGGGGTCTTTAGAGGTTTGGGCTCAGTTAAGATATTGTCTTTTCTTCAGGAAAAGGTTCAGGTTTCGTGTTCTAAAGCTAAAGGGAGTTTTTCTTATTGGATTAGAGGCGGTTTGTTTGTCAGCCTGTATCTCAAACCTGTGGAAACCCGACACAGATCAGAGTTTTGTCAGCAGAAGGATAAACGAATGTGAGTTAGCATAAAAAATATGTTTCATAACTGAATTACAAAATTAAAAAACAAAACACGTCACTTGGATAGTTCCATAAAATCGGATCACGTCTATGTGAGCCGTGAGGGGCACACAGACCGCTGTACAGTTATTTATTATTTTGTTCGAGCATTTGAACGCCTCATTATAATAACATGTTGCCTCATGTTATTACAGTCGGACTCGTTAAATTAAACCAGACCTGGATTGGCCTTCGTAAATCAGACAGATCCTGAGGCAGGTCCCTCTAGTAAAATGTGATCAAACCTTTTGAAAACCATCCCTGAGTGAACCTTTCCGCTGTTTGATCTAAAAAGACCTCCTGTAATATAAAAAACAACAAATACAAGTGATGAATAATGTTGAACACACTATGGTTTTTATTAATAAAAATAACAATCCTAGCAATGCGACCGTGATCACTGATTTCTTTGATTACGCCATACGTCATAAACAGTCAATCTTGTGCAAATATTTAGACGAGCATCAGGAAATCTGTCTCGCTTCGAGAAAAATGCCGTTATGAATTTTAACCATTGATTTTGAGCCCGTTCGGACGATCAAAGAAAACATGGACATTCAATAATTATACTTTTATGGGATTATTCTGAGATCCAAGCAGCAGCAAAAAATGTTGTTTTCAGGGGTCATATTTTTTGTAAGAATTTGTTATAGAGGAGCGATTGTCTATGAGCAGCTTGTCCGTAAATGAAAGTAATATCTTTATATAAGCATTGAATACATCATAAATAGTGCACATTAGTATGTACATGAACACCAGGGCTTCCCTCTCCGTGCTGCACAGCTGTGGTTCAGCTGGGGACGGCAAAGGAGTTTCTAATAAAGTCTCTTCTTTTTTTTCTGGAGGGCCGCTGGTGCAGATTTGCTCCCGTCCGAGAGATCACCAAACTTGAGAGATTTTAATCTAAATGGGCGGTTTCCCTCTCGAACCACTCCAGGATGGCGTCTTTGTTGTCGCGGACCCACTGGATGTTGACTTTGGTTTCCTCTATGGCCTGCTGCATGGCCCTGAAGGCACTGTGTGATTCCTTATCCCGCGCAAAATACTCCAGCTGTGCACACAATCAGAGCACAAAGACACAATGTTAGGTCCATTTTTTGTGTGAAGTGCATGCAACACATATGTCAGATATATCTGACAGATATATCTAAAATATTCTATATTTAAGTACTCATAGAAAAGATGGAAAGTAGCTATTTGGTAAGTCATTTTCTTTTATAAAAAACAATCAACAAAAATAAAATGAGATTATAAAATACAAATAAAGCCGCAGTTCTAGATTTTTAATAGAAATAATCTATTAAAGATGATAAACGCTTAAAAAGCTAAAAGTTACAAATAAATGATCGATAGAATTAGCAGCACATGGTGGGTAGCCATTAGAAGAACTGTAAAACAACCGATGAATGGATCAAAATTCTTAGTAAAAAATAAATGATTAACGATCACAGACTGTGGATGAATGTAAAATTAATATAGTTGATGCAACATACTGTACATATACATGTGTTACATATGTGTAAGTAAATGTTTGGAGAAGGAAATGATGCTTTCATTTCGTCCGGCTCAGGGTCATTGTAATTCTTTTATCACTTCCCTGAGTCAGTTAATCTCTGAGCGGCCAACAGTTGGTCTAGTCCTCATGTCTCTGGACTCTTTAAAAGAGCAATCTGAAGATCGATTTATTCTTAATGATTACATTTTCTTTGTTTATCCATAAGGTGTTTTTTTTATCATTATCTCTAAACTTTTTTAATTGATTTTACAGAATGGATTTACTATCTTTTGCAGACAAAAAAAAAACACCCAGGGAAATTTTCTAACCAAGAAACTTAAACGGCTAAAGGTCGTAGATCAAGAAACTTTTCACGGCAAAGCAACACAAAAGCTGCAAAAACATCAATGTTCCGTCTCAAGTTTGACGAAAATAATCTGAATGTTGAGCCCTGAGCACTCAGCCAAAACTTTAGTTTAGACTACAAACTCATCACGGAAATATTTTTTTCTAAATGCTACTTAGTATTGTTTTGAATCATGGCTCAAAGGTGAATGAAATGAAATGAAGTGGACACTGTCTCATCGTGAACGGAGGTCACAGTGACAGATTTCTGATAAGGTATCAGGGTGTATCCCCGCAGCCTTGTTTTTACCCAACCATCGATCAACCACATCCCAGCTGATGTCACTGTTGTCCTCTGAGAAAACGAGAAATGACGAGTAAGTTACCTCCTTCAGTTCGAACGTCGTGGAGAATCTCCTGGTGACTTGGTTGATCAGCATCACCGGGTCCCTGTTGGATCAGAACAATCAAAACTGAACTGTGAAAAACACAACTCTGCCAGCTGTTTGAACTGTTTCATAATCCTAAATTAACTAAAGGAATCGATGAACCAATAAGAGCTTTTTTGGTTTCTATTTATTGCTTAATTGAGTGCGGATAAGGCCCATAAAATCAAAGTGTCCTGTCTGTATTTACTGTATACTGAGAAGTCAATCATTTCTGCTGCCTGGCAGCTCTAAGCGCTGATTAAAAAGCAGAAGGACCTTTACACTTTATGACACATCGGGGCAGCTTGTGTAAACCAGGCGTTATCGCCGGCGTTTTATGGCTCCGTTTCCCTGCTGAGATGCTTCAGTTTCAGGGAGCTTCTGTAAACAACAGGCTCGAGCCGGAGAGAAAACGAGACTGCGTTCACACGCACCGACCCCAGGGAGGGTCAGGGACCAGCTTGGCTAAAATGACAAGCTCTGTGGGCCCATTAATATCAGTCACTTTATCAGAGAGATAATTAGAGAGAGACATTTAGATTCAGTGTGACTGCAAACGCTATTGAGCCGTTAACTTTTTAAAAGAAGTTTAAAGTGACACATAAGGATAGATACTCTTTAAATTCGACGGTCATGCTAAAAGGAGACGGGGTTAGGGGAACGTAACAGAAATAACCGATTTATCTTTTTCGGCAAAATCTTTATAAGAGAAAGACAAAAGTCACTCATTTAGTTCATTTTATGGCTGGAAAACATGAGAATCTAGCCAGTAAAAAGACCTAATTGAAAATAGGAGGAAGTTAAGCCATTTATTGCCCTGATCATCATGGGAAATGTGAGATCATGGAGGCGTGCCTTTATTGACACCTTGCTGGATGTTCATTTGATATTGAATAAAGTTTGATTGAATCATTTTCTAACAATCGACTGGAATATAATGTTTCAATATAAACACCGATACCCTCTTACACCTCAGGCTGCCACTGCATCATCCTTTAAGGTCTATACCCATCAGACCAACAATTAAATGTGAATGTGTGTCCATCAGAAAATGCGGAAACTGAAATGAGAGACGGGAGACTCTGTCCAAAAAAGCTCCCTACCCTTGACTGACGTAATCCCAGTGGGCTCTGACGAAGTTCCAAGCCGGCAATTGCCCGGCAACATTTTCAGAAATGTGGCTGATCGTGGATGCGACATCCATCAGCCGTATCTTCTCAGGGTCCAAAGTGTACTCCAGGAATCTGCAGATAAGGAGGGCACTGTCTTACTGTCCCCCCTGGTGATAGATTCGTGTTTGGGCCTCGCCTTATCAGGGGTGCGTCTGTGTGTGTGCGTCACCTGTTGAGCAGCCAGGTCTTCCTGGTGCAGGACAGGGCGTATTCCAGCTGCTCCTTCTCCGACGGGTCAGTGGCGCGCTGAAACTCCCCCCAGGCGAACTCCCACTCTTTCTTCCCGCCAGCAGCCACGGCTTGGCAGTAGATCACAGTGCGCAGATTGGGGTGGATCCTGAATCACAAATAGAGCCCACTCTTTTTTATTTGTTTTTCCCTGCTAGATCCTTTCCACGTTTTTTTTTGTGGGTCACGCTGAACTGCTGTCTGGACCCGGGAACCGGCAACAGGGGGTTGAAACCCCCCCCAAAAGTTTGCCGGACCGGGACGTCGTGAGTCAGCGTTTATTGGGTAAAGTCGGAGTGAGACGTGACAATGAGTAACAGAAAAAGTTCACAGGGTTTCCTTGTTTTTCTCCAAGGGCCCGGGCTTATAAAGAGCAGGCATCGTGTTTAACACATGCACATGCAAATATGGGCATGCTCGGAAACAGCTACACACTCACATGCACGCACAGGTTGAGTCACAGGACACGGTTTCGCTTCAGAAATGACATATATGCATACCCCAGCATTTTCTTCGAGGAGGGCTGTCGAGAACATGGCCGCCATATTGGATCAAGTGCAAGTTTTTCCAATGGGAATATGGCCATGTACACCAAAGAAGACCAGCGTTAACCGGGTGGGGTATTCATATATGTCGTTTTCTCTTTTGTTACTGGAGTAAAACAGGGCACTGTGACTACTGACTCTTTGCTATGCATCAGGAATTCTGGAAAATCTCAAACGTTTCAGCTTTAAAACAATGCAGCCACCAGCAGATGACACAGAAGGTGGTTAGGTCACACCTACCTTGGCTAAATCAGTGCAGGCGAGTAAAGCTACAGAATATATAGAGAAGCTATTACAGCAGTTTTACAGGCGATGTCAGAGAGAGAGGCGCAGACAAGATGTTTGAGTTCCTACCTGTTGGTGCCGTTGCCATTCATCCAGGCAGCGAACTTGTCTTGAGCCATTTCGATGCATTCCGGGAGGCCATTGGAGCAGGCCAGCTGGATAGCATAGATCTGGTTGTGCCTTTGGGGCGAGAGACAACTTCACTTATCGGGAAAAGGTCTACATCTAGATCGTCTGGTAAAGCTGCCCAAAAGGAGGACCAAAATGTTTATTTTGAAGGAAATTTTATGGTTAAATGTTGCTTGCTGTTTAGTTTATTGTGGATTTTTATTTGAACTGTTACCATTATTATTACTAAACTGCCTTTCTGTGTCTTTTTGTGTGTGGTGAATTTCTAAATTGTCAAAATTCTATGTTTTGCCATTATTTGATTCTTGGTTTAATATACAAAGAAGACTGATTTTTTAACCCCTTCTGCATAGATGTTCAATAAACCAAAGTAATGTAAATTTAAGCTCAAAGCAGCGAGATGTTTTTTTTTTTTTTGCTTTTTGTCAAAGTACTGCAAAACTTAGTTCGATCCAGCATCACATCTAACTCTTTTAACTGTTTTGTGAATGGGTTTCCATATATATCATATTTCCGGCTGCTTGAACAGGATTTTTAAGCCGACTTGACTAGTTTCACACATTTCCAAAGCAGATGACTTCCAGTTTTCCTCTGAACTTTCATGTGTGGGTTAGTGGTCACTTATTCGCCCTGCTTTGGCCCTTTTGGACTGAACGGTGAAAAGCTGCAGACTTCTTTATCAAACTGGATTAACTATAAGTCGGCTTTCCTTACTGTAAAGACTGATCGCTCGGGACTCTGGATTCATCTGTGTAGTTCCTGAAGAAGCTGTACAGCCCTCTGACCTTTTCCTGGAGGTAAACCTGCAGGCGGACAATTTAAAGCATAAACAGGTGGATCTGTCCCTCCTCCACGTCCATTTAAAAACACGTTTTTCACTTTACCTTTGAGGTCACCGCACAAAGAATCAAAATTCAGCCGGAGCTCACTCTTAAAATATATTACAGTGTTAAATGGCACGTGCCTGCATGGGTCCATACACCTCAGTGCGGTCAAACATGAGCGTGAAGTAGCGGAGATTCCTCTCTGCAGACTCCCAGGGAAGGAACTCCCTCTCTTTACTGAGGAAGCGTGTTGCATTCAGGGCCAGAGTCACATCGATCAGTTTGGCCCTGACGAGGTAAAGAGATCAGAATCCGGTGAGGTCCTGGATGTACAGCTAAATGTACAAGTGTTTTATAATCGATTATAGCACGTGCGGCCCTCCTTGATACCTTGCCAGGTTGAAGGCATCGTCAACAAGCTGGCCTCTGTTCATCAGTGGGATTCGCTGGAAAGCAAACAAACGAACAGTTAACAAAGATCCCATAAAGATTGTGCATCATAAATGCATGTCTTCCAAGTTAGCCGTCATAAAATTTCCGAAACATGGTCGATATTCTTTCTTCCATTCTTTATTTCTGGGTGGCCACCTTCCTCTAGAAAGGACAAAGCTTTCCCTGTTCTCATTGGTCTACTTTTCCAGCCTGATCAGGATCCACCTATTATTCCATGTCAGCTCTGAGACTTTAAATTAGCGCAACTTGTAATTTTTTCTCCAGGAAATCCCGAAGTTGTGACTTGTCCTGTCGTTTGTCGTGCGATTAGCTCAGTTTTATAACTTTTGTGGACTGGCTTGTGGTAAATCCTCTTATCTTGGGATTCTAAAGCATGAATCCTGATATTTTCACTTAAACGTCCTCTTGTTGATTTCAGTGGTTGACATCTTTGTGAAAGATGAAACATTTCTGCTCAGCTATCACCGACTGATAATCACTTTTTTGGTTAGCGTCTGTAAATCTGAATCTGTCTAGTCTGCTTGGACTCCTCTGGAGCATCCAGTCCCCAAATTTGCGAGCATTGATTGTCCTGATGTCTTATTTGCTTTGTGTGTGAAGGCGTGTGTGTGTGTGTGTAAAAGGCCTTTTGACAGCATCTGCTCAGGATTATCAGCACTTGGAATGATTGGAATGATTATGAAGAGCCAGAACAGTTCAGGGGTTTTAGAAATCTCCAGCCTAAGATGAATTACCTGCTACTTGTTCACCTGTTAAAACATTTCTCACATCCCCCTGAGTTTGTTGGGTCGAGCTGAGTACGGAGGTCTGGTCTTCTTCCGATAAGCCGTGCAGCATTTGCAAAAACACCCCCAAACGAGAGCGAGCCTGATTTATTTTCAGGGATTTATTTATCAGTATTTGTGTCTTTACCCTCCATTCCTCCCTGTTCTGGAGAATTTTAAAGCGAAGCGTGACATTTTTTTCTGTAAAAAAACAACACCTACGAAAGCTCTACGCTGAACAGCATCTCAAGAGGCTTTGCTGCACGGAAGTCTGTTATCTCACTCATTATCTGGACCCGTACTCACATCTGGATTTGTTTCCAGCTGAGTCAGGAGGCGCTGCCAATTCTCTGGGTTGTAATTCACTCTGTAGTATCCATAACAGTCGACGTTAGCCAGGATCCACTCTCCTTTCTTGGAAATGAATTCCTCTTTTCTCACTGTTTCAGGGACAGATATTTGTTAAACATAAGTTAGACTCACAACAAAGGAATAGTTGATGGAAAAGTACAAAAGAAAAAAACAGGGGTTCCAAAGAAACGGGAAAGGGGAATGTGCCTGAGCAAATTATGACTTTGGGCCTCTGGGTGTAATGATGTAAAAAGGCTTCCCACCCAAATGTAAAGCAGATGTATTGTGTTCAATTGTTTAGTGCCTCAACAGGTTTTGTTTCACACATCTTGGTTTTCTGTCTCTTCACATGCGTTTCCCTCATCTAATTTCTTTTTGCAGTTATTTAAATTGTACCTTTTTTTTCATCAGGTCATTTTCTCTTCAGCTTTGTTTACCCTCCGTTTGTTTGTTTGTCTGCCTCTTTATGGTCAGTTAATGTATTGCAGTGGCTGTTTTAGAAGTTTGTTGTAGTTCGGGATCTGATGGCAATGATTTTGCAAGTCTTTGTGGTCATGTTTTTTAATCTTCAGACTCTCAAAGTCTTTGTTGGCAACTCACGGCTAAAACTAAACTGTCAGGAAAAAAAGGGAGAAAAGCGGACGAAGTAAAATCCAATGATCATGATCGTTAAACACAAGAGGAACTTGTTTAACTTTCAGAATCTAAAACTGTTGTTGTTTTTAAGAGCTCAGTTTAAAATTGAACTAATATTTTTACTTTTAATGTTTGTAATCTAAAATATGACAAACCAACATCTATCCTATTAGAGCTGTCACATGAGCATCGTATGAGAGCATTTTACATATTTTTTCCTCGTGTTTCTGTGGCCTTTGTGAAAGACAAAGTGGCAAACAAAATATAAAAACCATATATCCTGCTAAAAAATTTTTTTTTTAAATCTTTCATTTGGGTTTGGGTGTTTTCCTATGTGTTACCTGGGCCAGTTTCGTCCAGCCAGACGAGAGAAGTCTCCGAGACGTTTGACCTGAACCTGATCGGGATTGGCCACCACAGGCTAAAAGAGAGGAGGGAGAAAATGATGACGCTCACCGGCCAAGAAACAACAGGTCAGGAAAACAGTGTAAAGGACAGCGTCTAAAGAAATAACAGTGTCCCACAATGGATCGGTTTAGAACCAGGTAACTGAAAAGTTAGACGTATGTCCAAGGTATAATCAAATGGCAGGCATAGCAGAAAAATATAAGCAAGGCGGTCTGAGGCGGATCTCTTTGTTTACTTTTGCAGCTGGAACGGAAAATGTTTTCTTTTTTTTGGGTGATTTAGTGTTTTGTTTTTATTCTGAGGGAGTTGGAAATGCACTTAATGCAGTGGATGGTATACTCATGACATTTAGGATGTTATTGCGTCGTGATGTTTAAATGCCTAACTTTCCAGATGTGGTGGGATGCTTTTGCACACACCTGGAATCCATGGTGTCGTTGAGCAGGAACTGCTTCTGGCGGATTTCTCCATTCTTTGTGTCGATGGTGATGACGGGGTAGCCCTTTTGGTTGGTCCAGGGATCCATCAACTGAGCGGCCCTCAGACCACTTTTATCACGTCTGGCCTGCGAAAAATAAACAAGTGTTCTGTAATACTGGATGTCACTACTGGATGAAGTTTTTTTTTTTAATCTCCGTTAAATCACAAGACTTTACCAATTCTATGTAGTCCCATAGGTCGTTCTGGTCTGTGTTCCCTCCTTGGTGTTCTTTGAGGTACATCTATGTCAAGCGTCAAGAGAAATCAAAGTGATAAATAGTCATTTCCAGGAGAAAAACCCTCATTTAAAACAACTGAGAGCCAAAAGGCCGTAATTCTGTCACTTTTCAGACAGACATAACAGAGCTGTGAAACTCCACAAAGGTGTCTGTATTTTCAGGACTGTTTAATCCATTAAAATACAGAATGAATTTTTCACCACGCATACTTGTACCGTTAATAAAAATCCAGAAGACAAACATCTCGCTCCACTCATGACCAACCAGATCGGCGCCTTTGCTTTGGCCCCTTAACTTTACTCTAAACAGACCGTTTCTGAGGTCAGGAGGTCGTCTTTATCTTAAGACTCAAAGTGTGTTTCCTGGGCCTGAGCTTGGTAAATATACTGCAAAATCTTAAGCTTTTAATGTGACAATCCACTCACTCTGATGCCATTGTTGAAAACGTTTTCTCCAACCACATTGGCCAGCATTCTCAGCACCACAGCCCCCTGCGGAGAAAACACAAACAAGAGTTCATTTGTGAGAAAAAATAGGCACATATGCCCAGCAATCAAGGCGGTGCACTAAAACCAATCAGAGTAAATCTGATGTCCTGTGTAATGTGTCGAAAACATCAACTTAGGGTCAAGATTTCAGTTTTTAGCTGCTCCAGAGAAATACATAGATAAATAAATAGGGGTAAAGCTGCTTTCCAATAAACATTTAAGCACATACACTACATACATAAATGATGCTGTGTATCACCCCAAGGCCCAACAAGGGAGTACCCTTCATTCTGGCTCTTTACCTTACTGTAGGATATAGAGTCGAACATCCCGCTGATTTCAGAGGTTGTCTGGACCTCTCCTGGGTCAGCACTGAGAGGACGGGAGGACTCCAGAGCGTCCTCCTCGAACGCAGCGTGCAGTTCTTGCATGACCTCAACGTCTTTCTGTGGAAAGCAGAGATGAAACCGCTTTTTAAAGAGGGTTTTCGTGTGTGTAGATCCTGAAATAATACGCTGAGAAACAACCTATTCAGCTAAAGCCTAACATTGATGCCGGTATTTACAACACTACTTTGATCTTTATCATTCTGCTGTTTGATTTTATTGTGTGACCCTTCAGCTCTCTGATTACATAATTTGAATAATGATCTGCTGCATTTTCTGTAAACTTAAAAACAAGTTTTCGACGGATGCACCCATTACATTTGTATTTCTTTTAAGGCTTTCTGGACATCTGTGGCCTGTTTAGCAATGAGTCAACCGGAAAGGGTGCAGGGAGAGTGGGGGGAGGCATGCACAGAGGGCTCCCAGGCCAGATCTGGGCCCTGGTCCAGCTGAGCTGAGGAACAACAGCCTCCATACATCGGACGCCTACACCAGCGGCTGGATTTTTTTCTGCATTGTCTTGGTGTTATTGTTGTCTCAGATCACGCTTAACTAAAAGCAGCATTTCTGTCCCTGCAGACCTGGATAGGAGGGGGGTGGATTTATTCTTCACTGCGGAGCTTTGAGCTGTGAGAATCTTCTCCGTGAGATATAACTCAAAGGAAAGTTGAGATGATTTTTTTTTTTTTACACTCCTTGTTATTAATTAACGTAAATGTAATCAAGTCAGATCAGGATGTAATAAATTGGGATTTTGTGGCCTCCCATAAGAGCGGAGCCTATCCACAAAGGAAACCAAAAGAAAAATGTGAATGCGGGCAGGTTCCTTCAGCATTAAACTGGACTCAAAGCTCTCATTATTTTTACAGAAAGCACTTAAGTCCAGTCGGTGGTGCAACAGGAACACTAACTGCATTATCATGGTTACTGTGAGAAGTTCAGTTTTGTATGATATCACTTTTTTATGTGTTTTTTTTACAAGAGTTTTATGAGCTTACTTTTGGTGGTTCTTAAACCTTTTTGCTTTCATTATCACAGAGGCCTCTGTCCGAAAGGGAGTTTGTCCTTTTTGTTTGTCAGTGGACATCCTCTTGTCCACTCTAAGGTGGCAACACAGTTATTTATGCTCATATGGGGACAGGGCAGTTTCTTTAGGGTTTGGCGCGCCCTTTCCTATTCAGAAATTCTATCGCAAGCTTGGATGGTTGGACTCACATGGATGTAAGTGTTTCTGCTAGTAGCTGAATAGAAACGCTCATATATCTTGATTCCCTTTCTGAAATGACCACCCTTCTAATGTTCGGCTAGGCTGAAGCTCTGTTATGAAGCTCCATTCAAAGCAAACCACTCGTCTTTTTTTTCCTTTGAAATGATGGTTTCCGCACACACACGGACATGAGACAGTTTTATCCTCACGTTTGTAGAGGGAATCATTATCTGGAGGAGAATCCTTTGTTTTTGACATAGTGCTAACAGGTCAAAGATATTTTCATGACCCCACCAAGAGGTTAAATACCTCTGATTCCTTATCACTCTGTCAAAAGCAAATAGGATTCTTTGATGAAAGGTGAAAGATAAAAGAAAAGCTGGACTTAAATCAGCATTGAAGGGATGTCTGGAAATCCACGCACTATTTGTGATGTGCCCGGTAATCAAACGGAATTCAAGTCGCAGAAAAAAAAGACACGTTCCTAACACTTTCAGACAAACGCAGCAGCTCTCACGTTTAAATTTAGAGCAAAAAAAAAAAATCTTCTTATTGCAAATATGTCAATTCGACCTGAAGATCGAGCTTCAGCTCACAGTTAGACGGATTATACTCAGCTTCCTCATGTCAATTCACAAATCCACAACAATTTGATGAAAACACACGTGGAAGAACTAGATTAGAAAATCAGACTGCACCATGATGCCAGAGATTCATTGATTATGACACATTTTCTACAAGCCAAACATTCTGATCGTTTTCTGAGGCTCGTATCTTGTTTTTGCTGTGAACGAGGGGATCTTAAACCCAACTTACTATTTTGAACGAGGGCTCCACCTTGTCCACGGCAAAAGGTGACCAGTACGTGGCAAAACCCTCTTTCAGCCAGAGTTCATTCCACCATTTCATCGTCACCAGATTTCCGAACCACTGTCAAGAAAAAACATCAATCTTTATCCACACTGACTGTAAATGGAAGACAAAAAAATGAGGTCAGAATTGTTCTGAACCTGCTGATTTTGAAGGCCAGTGTGCACATTTTCTCATATTTAATTGAGATAGTCATTGTTTTTCTGTTGTTTTTTTTTACAGGGAAATCAAAAATATGTCATGTCCTCTTACATGGTGAGCGAGCTCGTGTGCGATAGTACTGGCGATCACTTCCTTGCGCAAGAATGAGGAAACTCCTTCTTCATAAAGCAGGGCTCCTTCTTGGTATGTGATCAGTCCCCAGTTTTCCATCGCCCCAGAATTTAAGTCTGGCACAGCAATTTGTTCTAAAAGAATCACAGCATGTATGTTTTAAGCAATAAAACGGACCAGTGAGTACATTTCTTATATAAAAAATGCTCTACGCAAAGTCTTACGGAGCTTGTTTGGTTGGTATTCGATGTCAAACAGTTCCTCAAAGTAGGCGAGAATCTGTCCGGTGATGTTGGCGGCATATTCGGCGTGTCCGGCGTCGATGGCCTCTGGACGGGCATACGTCTGTGAGACAAACACGTTGTGAGGGCTTTAGCTCAGTCACACTGCACACACGTGCAGTGAGGAGAAACCTGAGATAAAGAGGCTCGAAATCTGTAAAAGTATTAATGGCAAATAGTTTCTGGTTGATGATCCTCCATAGTTTGACATGAGGAAACAAATTACACTCCGCCCAGTTTTTTTTCACACTTCCTTATAATGAAATATCATCAAAGCGGTTCCAGTGATTTCCTCTTATGAGCTCCAGATGCGCACGTACCTCTATCCTGACACGGCTCGGGGAGTTGATCGATTTGAACTCTGACACCACAAAGGCAAACAAGTAGGTGGACATCAGCTGCGTGGGCTGAAAGCGAGTGTATTTCCACTCATCATCTAGAACATTGGACACTGGAAGAGAAGAAAGGAACCCAGCAATGTGACATTGTGTTTCTCACGTGTCCTCCCAGCATCGAGCAGAGCAGCCGTTGTCTGTTTTTACCTGATTGCGCTCCATTTCCCAGGGCGGTTGTGCCCCGCCTGTGGATGACCGTCAATTCGAACACAGCCTTCATTTCCGGCTCATCTAAGCAAGGGAACAACCTCCTCGCATCGGTCGGCTCCAAGTGCGTGGCAGCGAGGAATCTGTGAATACAGAAGAGGTCAACTTTCACTTGTCAGCCTAGGACAGAAACAACGAGGAGTCATGTGGATTTAAAAAGATGCCGTGGGGACTGTTTAGCTACTTTTCAAACACTGGTAGAATTAATGAGAGTTTTTTTTTTCTTGGGTCAAGGCCCAGCATTGGAGCACGAAAACGCTTTCAGTGTCTTTCAATCTAAGAGGGATGTTGTGTGATTTTACTCTGCGTTTCATCAACGAAACCGAACAAACGGCTCCCACAAATCTAAATCATTCACGATTAAACGTTGATTTATCCGTGGGCAGCCGTGGATCCAGCAGACAGAGCTCTATGCCAACAGACCACAGGTCCATTTGTGGTTCCTGGGTTTCTAAAAGCAGAATGAGGGGCAGATGCTTCGGTTATCAGGCTCCTCTCTGTGGAAGCAGCTGCCAGTTTGGGTTCAGGAAGCAGACCCCCTCTCTACCCTTAGCACTTCAAAATGTGCTTTTTGATAAAGCTTATAGTTAGGGACGGCTCAGGTGAGCCTGACGAATATTATAGTTCAGCTGCTTCAGGCCCAGACTGCAGGGCGATCTCCCATGATGCACCTCTCTTTCCCCTCCATGTACATGTGACATCATCATGGTCACTACGCTCAGGATGGGGATCAAAGAGTAGTTTTGGAGAAATCTAGTTTCCTGAGCTTAAAACCTGTTTTTATGGACTCTTAATGAATTCAACCGGTGCAATTTAGCTTATGTACCTCAAAACAAGTCAGATATCAATTCGTTTGAATGTTCACAAACATCTCTGCTGTTGTGTTGAGACTTCATGAAGCTAAAGAATATTTTGATAAAGCAATTAAAGCAAAGTGATTTTTGTCACATTTATTAAAACTTTTTCCCAATGATTTCTTCTTGTTATTGAATTTGACTTATTTTTTACTTTTATAAAAATTCTACTAACTAAAAACATTTAATCGTTTTGGGATTTTTCAATAAGAAAATAAAAAACAATCCCTCTCAGGCTTCAGAGAGTTTTCACTTTTCATTATGTTTGAAAAGTTATATATTCTAATTTGACACTATAAAAGCTTGTCATTTCTACTGAAATCCTTTAAAATCCTGCCCTTCCTTGTGGTTTCAGTCTGTCTTTATCAAAGGTTAGTGGAAGTGAACCACCTAAACTTAATCTATATGTGTAATGCGGTATCTACGATTTGAGAGACAAAAAATAATTGTCATTATTATTGCTCTATGAAAATAATATTAAAGGATTCTCTTTAACTGAAAGTTAAAGTTGTATTATCTCAGATGTTTTCATCATTTTTTTTTTGTCGTTTAAGAAGTTTAAAATTAACATTTTTAAAGTTGCTCGTCTTATTATTTGCTTTTTCTATGATGAACATGTCTATTCCCTCACAGAGAAAGACTTATCTGAAAGGCAAACTGGACTGAAATTGTGTTTCTCTCTCTTTCTGGGGAGGATTTTTCTGAATTTACATCAGAACTTTGAACTTTTGTGAACATGGGAGCATAAAGGTTGCATGACTGTGGTGCTGTCGGCTTCGCGGCGCTCACCTCTCTGCGTCCGTGTCGTCCTCTGAAGCGGGGCCGCCTTCGCTGTACGTGCTCACGAACAACGCGTCCAGACTCTGCGATATTGCTCCCTCAAAGCTCAGAGACAAGCTGTAGTTCCCCCCTGCCTCCAGGAACCCGTTCAGCTCCAGCTCCAAGAAGTCCGTTTCGTCCTCGTGGTGTTTCCAGGAGTTCACCTTAATCCTGTCGTTGGTGTCTTTGTCGACCAAGTGCGGATCGGAGATTGCCAGGTCCCTGCTGTGGAGGTAGATCTGACCCGTTTTCTGGACGCAGCGGAAGTGGAGGGTCGAGTTCCCGGTGAAGAGCATGGTCTGGTTGGGGCTGGTGACGTTCACCTCCTGGATGATCTTGGTGTAGAGGTGAGGCTGGAGGAAGATGATGTAGCGCTCGGGGACCAGGCTCCCGGGCAGGCGCATGACGGGCGGCGGGCTCAGGGTGGTGGACGGCGGGGTCGGACGGGGCGTGGGATTCATCTCGGAGATCTCCACCTTGTACACGACGATCATGGTGACGAGGCCGGCGATGGCCGAGACGGTCAGGACGGCAAAGGCCCCGGCGAAAATCTTGGAGAGGCCCGTGTTTTCCGGCATTTTTTGGGCTGTGGGGTCCCGAAGACCAGCGAGGCGTCTCTGAGCGAATCTGTATTCCGTTCGACAATAAATGCTCCGCACGCATCCACCTAACCTTTCCCCCCTCGGCAGGGCTTGGCCCTCGGCAATTAGGTGTCTGTACTTCGATTAAGCATTAACTCCGGCGCTGGCGGGGAGGGAACCGGTAGGTGTTGCCGTGTGAGGAGGTCAATGTTCATTTTAGGCAATCAGGGCCTTGCCGGCAAACATCTGGAGGCGGTTACCGTGGTTGTCTCCCAGATGCAGGGGTCTCCCTCACCTCCCCTCCGGCGGGCATCAGCACCCAACCCAAACTGTTGCAATCGAATGCCTCACGTGAAACGTGGAAAGAAAAAAAAAAGAAAAGGAAAAAGGCAAGAACATCTCCTCTGACTGTGGATTCGGGGGTCCAGAGTTTGGGGCTGCAGAACTCCTCTCTGAGGCCGTCCACAGGTAGAAGGCTTGCATCCGCACGCAGACGCCGCCAGATAGACAAACTCCCGGCACGCAAGGAGCATATGAGGGGAGGACTTCTGAAGGGGCCGGAGAGCAAAAAGCAAAAAGGGGAGGAGGATTTCCAAAGAAGAAGGATCGGGGGGAATGACCGAGGTGCCTGGGAAGCCTCCTCCTCGGGGGAGCCGCCAGCGTCACGACCACCGTGTGCACGTTCTTCATCTCAGGGGGGGGGAAGAAACACAAGAGGACCTGTCGGAAACAGCGTTTTACCACTGCCAGTTTTGGCACGTTTTGGCACTGCCAGCAGACGCTCCTGCTGGGGAGGAGAAGAAGAAGCCCATCCCGGCTGTGGGGGTCAGGTGGAGGAGCAGCGGTTCTGCTCCGCGTAGGGAATCGGATTGATGGGCCACATAAACGAAAACACAAACCAGAGCGAGCAGAAGAGCCCAAAGCACAATCTTTTTATTATGTGGAAAAAAGTAGACCAGATGTTACAACATCTGCTGAAATGTCAGGGGTTTCCCGCTCACACGCAGGAGGAATGGAGTTAAACGGTTCATCAGCAGGAGCCGGGATCTGGAAAACCTCAGTCCTGAAATCTATTAGGAGAATCCCGCGAAATGCCGAGCACGCCCCCCAAAAAAGTCCGTCTGTTGGTCACGCTTCACAGCTGTAAACACAAGCGCGCCGGTGTTTACAGCCAAAACCTGGAGAGTAAGGACCTCTGCTGAATGAGGAGGATAACTGCAGAACGGGCAGTTTATGGGGGGGGGGGGGCAGAGCAGCCTGCCGTGACAGCAACAGGAAATGTGCAAACAGCTGCAGAGTTTCTTCATTTGAAGACAATCAGGTGGAATCTTTGGGTCCAAACTTCACGAGCTCGGGCGGCTTCAGGAGAAACACACACATTTAACAAACGCCGACAACAAAACAATCTACAAGGGGCACTGAAGACCAGAAAAAATTAACTCCAGCCCTGGAATTAACCCCCGTTTCTGCATTCCTGGCCGGCTGTGATTGGAATTACATCAGATTATCACCGGCTGTCCCCATGTGCAACGCACTCAGAACCTGAGCAGATCTGTTTGGCCTCTTTGGTCCCACTCGAGGGCTCACCTTCCTTCTGATTGTGTCTTTTTTTTTCTTTTTTTTTTGAGTGCATTGACAATTTTGTTCAATTTCACTGTTCATAATAAACCCTTTCTAAATAATTCCTGCACACTCTCTGTGATCTCTCGTCTCATTTCTACAAGGACATCAGTTTGTTAGCAGCTCGGCCATCAGCCCCAAGCAGCTGTTTCTGAGCATTAAAACAACGAACAACAAGCTACAGAACAACCCATTAACGGTACAGTACAGGTCATTGTTTTCCACAGTGGAGGAGCCTCGTTTTTTAGGCACTCTGATCGTGAGGAAAAAGGCAAAATAGGTTTGAAAACGTCCAAAACTTAGACGCAAAACTTTTACAAGAGCAAGCCACGTGATCCTCTGAAGAAAAGCTGCAACTCTCTGAGGTTCAAGTTGTAATATTCAGAGGTGTGATTTAGTGATTCTGTCTTAAAGAGGTGGAACACCTGGAAGGATTCAGATGTGCAATTTTTTAAGATACAGAAAAGTTGCCGCACTTGTTGGAAGAATCTCTTTTAAGTGATACATGGGTCAGCGGGTCCTTGAAATGAATATGTTTTCTCTCAAATAAGGAAAACTTCCTAAATAAAAAAACTCAAGGAACTTCCCACTAAAATCTTTTTAAAAATAATTTGTCCTAGACTTCTGAAGTCTCAAACAGATTCTATAACGACAAAGTTTTTTCCCCCCCCGAAATATTTTGCCTTCGTTCTCACATTTTTCTTTTTTTCTCCACAAGTTAAAAGGTCTGAAACAACTTAGAGAGGCTGCTTCTTCCCGGCCGCAGCGGCCCAGTGGAATCAGCACCGAGCAACTTTGCCTTTGGCAGCCTCACAAAAGCACCTCTGCCTCATTAACATTTAACAACACGTTTGTAACAGCAAATTACATCTGTTCAAGTGTCCATTTTCAACTCGTTTGTGTCCCTCTGAGCTTCAGTCCACTGACAGTCAGTGTGAGAGGTGGATTGTCTGTGTTTCCTACCAAAGCCAGCTGTCCAGATGCTGAACGCAGTAGCAGGACTGTTCCAGGATGGCGGTCAGCTCCCCGTAGCCCTCCTCTCTCCACGTGGGGAGGAGCCGCTCGTTGTTGAGAGCCTGCAGCTTGGGCGTGCCCTCCCGGAGGACGTGGTACAGGCAGGGCCACCGGCTCTGGATCCGCAGCCGGGTCCTCCGGTCCAGCGTGATCCCGCGCACGATCTTCTTGGCCCGCAGCTCCCGCAGAGCCGGCAGCTTCAGGAAGGAGAAGACCAGACCTCTGCTGGGGGACACGTCCAGGAACTCCAGGGACTGAGACTCCAGCGTGTAGGAGATGCCCAGGTTCCTGAGCGGCACCAGGATGTGTAAAGTCAGGGACCTGAGGTTGGGCAGGGACCTGGTCAGAGTCTGCAGCGTGGACGGCGTGACCCCTTTGAAGACCCAGAAGTATTTGAGCTCCAGGACCCGCAGCTGCTGGAAGTGCGTGAGCAGAGAGACGGACAGGTCCGACCAGTCGAAGTGCAGCCGCATCTTGGAGATGCGCGGGCAGCTGTGGGTGAGTTTGCTCAGCAGCTCCTGGAAGCTGGTCACCTGCCGAACCAAAGGACACACAACGTCACACGTCCGCTCCAGCCATGCGGCGCTGTCGGAAATTTCAAAATGAACAATAAGTGTGTCTAAGACAGAAGCAGCGGGCGGTCAATTCACAACTTGCATCCTAAAAGGTCAGTTAAAGGGTTCCATATTTTCTCGTATATCTGCAGCACAAGAAAACAAAACTCTGCATTATCACCTTAGAGGGCACCAAAGGCTATAAACTAAAGACATGAAAATACCACCAGACATAACAATGGTAAAATAGGAATGGTAAAATAACTACACTAACAATAAAAACTGCATGAATTGTGATAAAAGTGTAGGGCTACAAGTTTACCGATCTACCGAGAAGGATAAGGATAGGATTTCTGATAGAAGAATGTTTTAAGGAGCTCTTAAAAAGGACTGAGCTGATCTCCTCACGCAGCTAGTTCCATAGTTCAGGGACTTTGACCATAAACTGTCTGTCAGCTCTGGACTCAAACTGTATCCCTGAGACCTAAATGGCTCTCGGTCCAGTTTCAGGCTCATCTTTTACTAAAAAGCTCAGATAAATTAGAAGGTTAAATGACAACTCAGTGCCATTTCATACTAATGTGCAAGGTAACGTCCTTCCGTTTGAACAAAAACAAAAAACAAATCCAGCAGAGCTCTAGCCGCAGATGTATTCTGTCACCCGTCTGAGTCGTGTCAGACTCGAGTTTAGAGGCTTAACTCGTTCTTGATACTTATTCTTGCTCAGGAACTAACTGAGAGCGGTATCTTGGAGACATCTCCGCAGTTTGTGTGCTGTAAATGTTTTTTCCTACCTGGTCCATTTTGTTGAAGCTGTCCTGGTGCGAACTGGAGCTGGAGTGGACCCTGAGGTCCAGCGGTTCCAGGAGAGTGAAGGTCCAGTTGAGGTCCAGGTGGCTGAGGTCCCGGCAGTGGACGTTGTCCAGCAGGTGGCTCAGCAGCTCGCTCCACTTGTGGCAGCGGTCTCCCAGGTCGAAGCTGGCCTTCAGCGTGAGCAGGCTGGCCCGGCGGGAGATGAGGTGGTGCGTGTAGTGGTGGACCCAAGACTTCCACCGCTCGAACTCCCGGTTGGAGACCAGCAGGCCCTCCTGGCCCAGGTGGAAAACGCCGCGGCGGGAGTAGTCGGCCACCCGCCACAGCTTCCAGGAGCGCACCAGGCAGCTCCAGCTCAGGCAGACCAGAGCGCAGCTGCACTTGTCCACCTCGCTCAGGAAGGACAGGACGTGCAGCTGGCACTCCACCGGCAGCAGGTTGAAGGGGAAGTGGTCGTCCGCCGCCTTCCGCCTGCTGCTCACCGGGACCAGGGGCCGCTTCCGGGGAGACATTTTGACAGGCGGCGAAACGCTGGTGGTCATCGGCGGAGGTCAGACTCTCCACCTGGCGGTCTTGTGGTCTAGTTTGGCCATAAATACGTCAGCCTTGAGAAAGCTTAGCAGGTAGAAATGGAGGAGACAGGCAATGAGTCGGTGATTGTTTTATTTTCTCTTTTCAGATTGCGAAAGAAAAAAGCTCTTTGTGCTGGAGGGAGAGTCACCCGGCGCCACGACTCCCTGCATGGCACACCTTCAGTTCGAGTGGAAATTCTGATATTCAAAAGTCGTTGCGAAACCAGCTCCTCCTTTGAACTGAACATCAGTGGCACTTGGCTCATGTGGAATTCAAAGAATGTCCAAAAGATCAAACCAAATTATTTTTTAAAAAGAGGTAGATCTCCTTCTGTGCAGCATTTTCAATAAATGATAAATCTAACTTCAGCTGTTTATTTTTTAAACATTTAAATTCTTATAAATAAATCAAACTGTAAGTATTGAGGGGTTTTCAGCCTTATGAACTATACAGGTTAATGCAATATTTCAATGGGGAAAACATGGTCGCCTGCTTTGTTAATCTGCTGTTTGCTCAACAGCAAAAATGTACTAATGGGGTTTAATCCTTCTGCTGAATAAAAGACAGATTTAGTGTTATTTGTATTAGCTGTTTCCCCCTAAAAAACAAGGTTGGGGTTAACAAAAAGGTAACCATTGAGTTCCTCAGCTTGCACTGTAAGCATCATATCTGTTTACATATCTATAATTACAATTATAACGGTGACCTTTTAACTTTTAAACATGACACTGAATTGCAAAATGAGAAGATTAACATTACAATACTTTCCTCATAAAGAACAGTAAACTAAGCTTTTCAATTAGAACACGTTTCTCACTAATGTAATTCTAACTCTTTGGGGCCTTAACTGTTAAGTTACTGATGTTTGCATGTGCAGTTAATGAGAATGAATGAAGAAAAATGAAATTATGTCCCTGAGAAAATAAGATAGGCAACTGGGTAATTTATACTTACAAATAAGAATCTCATTAGTACATAATAAAATGTTTGTGTCCATCATCTGACAATAGTTACATTTTCATTTTCTAACAACAGTATTGCGAATTAAATGCTAATGTATATCTAATAAACTCAATTTTTCTGCTGCAAGATCCCCCAAAACTAGCTACAGATAGCATTAAACCATAAATTAAATGATTTAGAAAACGTGTTTACTCCATTAATACAATGATCTACTCATCTGGTCTGATTGATTTTAACTCAAGCACGACACTGTTCTCACAAAGGTTTTGGTCACGTTAACTGCTGGGAATGTGACATTCACATGCTCACGAGTCTTAGCATTAAATTACAGTCCCGTTAATAATATAGCACCCCTGACAGCTCCTGTATTCGCTTCCTTCCCTCCATCCTTTGGTCAGATAATCAGCCCCTAATTTACCTAATTTACGTTTCTGTTAATGTGAGGCCAAATGTGGATTGTATCAGCGTTTCAGCGCCATTACAAAGATAAAATCAACTCATTACCTTCAGTTCGATGAGGCTCCGTCTTGTTTAAATGCTAATCTCTTAGCAGGAAAAAGGAAGTTAAAAACAAAGCTAAATAACGCGCATGTTTACAAAAATAACTCTTAAACCTGCATGTACTGATAAATATTGATCCGGTAAGGGAAGCACAAAATAAAACTAAGACAAAAGAAGAGCGCGCACTAACTAGGCCGGCTAGTTAGCATTTTGAACAGCTGAGTTCTGTTGTTGTTTTTGTTGTGGCCTATTGGTGATGACGTCATCAACATGCGCTTGGCTGGGCAGCGGTTTTTGTGACCTGGGATTGCTCCAATGGGCGGAGATAAGGACAAACTAAAAGAAAGGTTTGATAATGTGCTTCCTTCGTAAGCAAACAATATTTCCAATGGACTAAAACATAACAAAAAAGCCATTAAGATGACAATTTGTACTTTGATAAGACTATTTAAAACTGAAGAGAACGAGCGCCTCCTGGTGCATGCATGGGGGAATAGATTTGAACGGAGCACTTCTTTCTTTGGGTATATGTTCTTCACATCAGGAATTTTTTACCAATTTATTTCAATATTATAGAAGCATTTCTTATTTTGGTGTTTCAAAGATCATAGCGACTGTGAATGTTATCTTTGTATTTTTCTATGAAAATGTTCAAACTCGTTTTTTCCTATTGAGGAAAAGGAGGTGATGGAGCCCGTGTTAAGTCCCATCTGTACTAAAGGCGGTGCACATCTTCAACATGACGACTCACTGGACTGGTTATTCTCTTATTTTTTGTTTATTTATTTCTACCAGTAGATGGCGCGCTTGATATGCTAAAAAAATGGTGATAGGTCACCCTCAGATGTCTCTATTTGTCTGTTTGTGTGTTAAATGATCATGTTGTACTATATGAAATGTACTGTAATCGCAATAATTAACCTCAGACACATCTATAACTTCAGTGTTTTAGGGTCAGTTTTATAGCTGTGTTATATGTGTTATACGTGGTGGAGTTAATACTATATACAGTATATATATAGAAAGCTTCAGAAAGCGTAACATGGAGAAAACAATCAAACAAAAAAAGACTACTCCTCTGGAATTATGTGTATTTGTTTTCACCATTTCTTGGTCAGCGGTGTGTGAATGTAATGTATTTAGAACCTTCTCACAAACATTTCCTTCTTCCTGAGATAAGTCAAGTTTGCAGCCAATAGCTTTTTAAAATCACCCTGTTGCAGCAAAAACTCAGTTCTTCCAAGTCAAACAGTTTTATTTTTGTTATTTTCTGAGATAAAACTAAATAAACAAATGATGTGTCTTTGTGACAACCTGCTCTAAACAAAGTGCCTGTTGTACAGAGACACTGGTTAATTCTTTCAGTTACACTTAAACGATTCGCAAACTAAACCACAGAAGATTCTTCCTAAAATATTCAGGCAGTGGACTGAAAATTAGTTTCCTTTTTTAAAAGCAGGAGAAAGGAGAACTATTGCTCAAGACCAATTTAAAAGATTACAACACAGTCAGGCGGATTGGAGAAAACAGAAAGAAAAGAGGGCTGGATGTCAGCCCGCTCCTCCGGTTCTCTTCACTAACTCGAAGCATGAAGTGTTCAGACGGTGTTGTGTGGTGAAAATGGCCCCCACTTCCTGTGATACGCTGTGGCACAGGAACGCCTCTGCTGCTGGCAGGAAGGTGGTAAAATCTGCCCCAAAGCACACAATTCTGTCGCAGGAGGTCTTGTAGACCACAAGCACTCTGCGTGAGAGCGCTTTTGTTGAGCTCTAGCAGCAGATATCATATTCCTCCACTTTTAGCTTCTCTTCATCGACTCATAAATTCAGAGCAGAGTTTAAAGTTCTGCTCCTCACACATAAAGCCCTAATTTGTCAGATCTCCGTTGTCAGAAGTCATAGTTGGATATTTTCTCCACACACATACACACAAACACACACACAAAGCACATTAATACAAACTTTACTTAATTCAAAGGACAAAAAATGCAAAAAATGAGTTTGAGTCACATCTCCATATAAAGCAGTGATGTCAAATTCCATTCCTCAAGGGCCACTAACCTGCAGGTTTGAGCAGTTTCCATGCTTGAGCAAACCTGATTGTGATGACATGGCACAGCTCCAACGCCCAGCACACGCCTGGCAATGGCGCGCTGACTTTAATCAGGGCTGTCAGAAACTTCTCAAACCTGTAGAACTGACACCGGACACCTCTGAAGCAATGTAAAACATAAATTCCACAGGAGTACAGTGACTGAACAGGCCGGATTATTTACATTTCCTCACTTCCTTCCACGCTGTCACTTTGGTTCCTTTTGTGTTCAATCGTATCCAAATCTATAAACATATTGTAGTGCATTGGGGGAGGGATGCATGCAGTTCCCATGGTGCATTGCAATTTGCTACTTGTTAATGTTGTGATCACACCATGACCCTGAAGGATGTTGATGTTCATCACCAACCTGCCTCTGAAAAGTGGGTGTGTGATCTGAGCATGTGATTAGATGTTATATAAACAGCTACATTTGCCCAAGGTCAATGAAGCAAAATCGTCCTAACCGACTTCATCCAGTAGAACGCCACAATATTAAAGCTACAATTTTGATTTACAATAGCTCCCACTACAGTAGCTCGAGTCGTGCTGAGTATCTACGTAGTTAAGCCAGAGGACATTTACAAGCTACGTGACAGACGAGCGAGACTCCAGCAGATGCCAGTGGTGCGTTCACGGGTCCAGTCATCTCTGTTGAGTGTTGCACTCGCAAACAAACGTCACTTATTTAATACCTAAATGCATAGTTGGGCCATAACAGGATGATACAATATGATAAAGCAACTATAAGGGTGAAAACAGGCGACAGCCCTGTGTTGATTTTTCATTTGTGAAGATGTCGTCCAAAATCCGGCGATACTCGAAGGCACCATGCGGGTTTGTTGTGGTCTGGGCGACAAGCCGATTGTGTTCGGGCTGGCCAATCAGAGACGCGCACGGCGCAGATGCCCCGCCCCCCGCGTCACTCCCTCCATCCTCATACTGCGAAGCATCTCGAGCCGTTGATTCATTCCCTGCCAGTCAAGCCGCTCTTCCAGTCCCAAATCCGCTACACGCGCCTTCTGCAGAGCTGAAAGACGACCAACCCCCCCCCCACACAAACCAGCAGTAATAAAGAAAACCAACCAAAGCGACACGGCCCGTTTTTTAGTAGGCATTTATTTCCCGGAAGAAACGACGGAATAATTCCTGCTGCGACACAGCGCCGAACGCGGGCACTGCGTTTTTTTCCTCTCTCCCCTTTTGTTTCCGTTTTTTTTGAAAAATTATCTTTTGAGACATGAAAACCAAATTCATCAACGGGGTTTCTTCCTCCCCGTCCATGTCGCTGGGCCTCCTGGTGACCGAGAACGCCCTGCAGGTCCAGCCCGACACCGAGGAGGACCGCAAGGAGCCGCTCCGCCCCGACCAGCCCGACGCGGACACGCGCCGCAAGGCGTTCCTCTGGTGCAGGGAGTTCCTGCACGGGGCCTGGAAAGCCCTGGCCGAGGACGACTTCCAGATCTCCATCATAAGGTACGACGTCGCCCCCGTCCCCGTCCCCGTCCCCCCCACAACCCACACCCTCTCCCGTGGGTTCGAAACCCGTTTAATATGAACCCAAATCTGCTGCGTGTTAAGACGAGTCAGAGGAACCACGTGACCCCGTGATGCTGGAGCCTCATTTATTTAATTTAAACCGCCACTCGGTGTGTCACTACACGGTTCATCCTCTCAGATATGTAGACCCCTATCTAAACTTTCTACCTTGCAATGATGTCTATAGGGGTTGATAATCGGATTGGGATCATTTCACAGAAATATATAACAAACTTTTAAGTATTTCTGTGGGCCTCATCTCCAGAAAATGCAAAACTGTAACCCATTTGGAGGCTAAAAATAGAATGTGTTATTATTTTGGGAGGGGAGAAATGTACAACAAAGGGCATAACAAAGTTATTCCAATGTTTAGTAGCTGGGATTCTTTGCTGTTTTGTCTACAGAGTGTCCTTCACATGCCGAGTTAAACCTGAGAGGTTTAAACTGAGGCTGAAACTCTGACCGGGGACACTGATATAAAAGTGCATCCGGAGCCGAAGAGGTGTTTATGTTTCTGTTTCACGATGCAAAACCCTGGCTCACTTGTTCTGGCTTTTCTTCACGTTGTCAGTGCCCCGTTTGTTGCAAAAAAAATCGGTGTGGATTCGTTTTTTTTAGGGCGCGTGAGAGCCGTGCTCACTGACTGTGTGTGTGTGTGTGTCTGTGTGTGTGTATTTTCCAGGGGCGGTCTGAGCAACAAACTGTTCCTGTGCAGCCTCCCCGACAGCCAGGACTCTGTCGGGGACGAGCCGAGGAGCATCCTGCTGCGCCTCTATGGGGCCATCCTGCAGGTGGGAGTCGTTCCACCCCGGGCAAATAAATCCACAGACTCTTCAAAATGACGTGCGTGCGTGTGTGTGCTTGAGAGAACAGTCCTCCCTCAGTGGTGTTTAGCCGTTAGCGTGTCATTACCTCTTTTTCAATTCCGCACAAACACACACACACACACACAAACGGTAAACGTCAGGAAAAAAAAAATGCATCACTGATCAGCTAAAGGAGGATTTTAAGGATGTGTGGCTCAGTGGGATGTGTCAGCTCCACCATCGGAGGTTGTGTGTGTGCGCTTTGTAGTCCATATGCTTGTTGTTAGAGTAAGCATGCATGTGTAGTCATGTTTTCACGCGTGTATGTGAGTGTCTGAGAGAGTGAGCGTGTTAGCCATTGTTGTACATGGTGATGTACCCCCATGGCTGTACATGCATGTGTTCTTTGCCGTAGGCTTCCCAAAGGAGCATGCCTTGGGCACTCTTGTTCCCAGGTGAACCCACCAAAAAACACGGTACAGTATGAGATCTCTGAAATCTCAGCCTAATACAAAGATGTAACAAACACTCAGGAGACCCTCTCCTCCTTCTCTGAATCCCTTCCTTTTGAGTCACGATCCACACGAGTCGGCTTAGCTCCTTCATTTTTTTAAAATAAACGGCGAAACAAACAGAAGCCGACTCGCAGTCTTATCTCCCGGCGTGATGTGGCAGGATGGGTCCAGAGTTCACGCTTTCTGGACTCGCTCATCCTGCCGTCTCGCCACTTTCAGGTCCCCCACCCCCCCAAAAAAAAGATAAAAAGTTAAGTCACCTCTGCATTGGGCAGAAGGACAAAAATGAAAGGACTTAAAGGTCTCCTCTCCAGCTGGCTGTTTGCCTTTGCTGTGGTAAAAAAAAGAAAAAAAAGAAAAAGCAGGGCCAAATCTAAGAAACGGGCTTTCTCTGGGCGATCCTCTCCAAATTGCAGCTGTAAAACTGAGTTAATTTTCATTAATGCGCCGGCTGATGGGAGTCTGGTTAGCCGCTAATGGGTGCGCAAACAGGCTTTTATTGCCGGGGCCGTGCGAGCGGGCAGAGGCCCGAGCGTCCTTCTCCAAGGTAACCGCAGCCGCCCCCGGCCGCCTCTCTGGGAGGAATTAGCCACGTCTAATCAAAAAAGCTAATATGATTAAGGGACCCGGGAGGCAGTCGTGCGAGCGCAGGGCGACTAATGATTAAACCGGCCGTAGGCGGGCCGGAGACGCCGGCTCTGGGCGGCGAGCGTCAGGCGGTAGAGCAGGTTTACGGGCCGCCCCCCCCCCCCCCGGAGCTGCAGTCAGCCTCAGCTCCAGCAGAGCCCGGCGCGCCGTTGAACTCATACTGTACTGTCTGCTCTGCGGGCACGGTCAGATGGATGGTCAGATGGTCAGGGCTGTGCTGTTGACCCTCGTGGATGGCTTCCCCTGTATTCATGGATAGTTCTTTCCTTTTTCTCTTGTTGATAGATGTCCTGTAATAAAGGAGATTCTCGACAGTCAAACAAAGAAAACTTCCAAGTAAGTAAACGACGTTCTCTGCTCGGGAGATGTGACACGACAGCCCCCCACCCCCCCCACCCCCCCCC